GGGGCTGTAGCTGTTTCTGAATTCCTGTCAGATTTTCCAAGGGCTGTGTGAGGGGGAGGAGTCGGCGGGGCCTGCGGTGCGGCCGCCCGGGTTCGCCCCGTGCCGGCCATGGGGCCTGGAGGCGCCGCCACCCCCTGGCGTAGGGTGCGAGCCCCCCACAACGTCTGCCGCCTCCTGAGCGGGCGGGCGCGCGGGTTTTACGCCCAGGACGCTGGGGTCGCCCTCAGGAAAAACCTAGGGATCCTCAGGAGGCTGCTTTGCCAGGTAACGCTCCCCGCCGCCTGGCAGCCAGGCAAGGAGCTGGGATTCTGGCTGGAGCCGGAGCTAGGGCTGATGAGGAGTCCTTCATCCCTGCAAGATACCGTATGGGGAGCCCTTCCACCCCAGCCCACGCCACGCCCAGCGCGTCCTGCTCATCAAGCTTTTGACTAACTAATAATAACACTGCCTCTTGGAAAACCTTTTCCCTGCAATGTCCTAATCCGGGTGGCTGGTCTTGTGTAGGACTCGTCTGGTGTTGATGTGGATGGCAGTGTTTTAAGGGATCACTGTTCTCTTCGCGTTGGGCCTCCTGTGCTAAACTCAGTCAAGTTCTTTCCCCAGTGAAGGAAGGCAATGGTTGTTTTTCTAATAAACACAAACATGTCCTGTGGCTGGAAGCCGAACACTACCCTGGTAGGAAACTGAAATGATCATCCATGCCCTGGGTGGGATGAACACAGCCACTTAAATCCCTTTACTTTTAGCAAGCTAGAAGGGGCTAGGCCCCGCTCATACAGCCAAGATCTCTATGGAGATGTCTGCATACCTGCACCCACAGAGAGGCATGCTGAAGTGAACAGGACTCTGTCTCTTTGTCATCTGCCTGCACCCTGCTTTTTCATCCAGGGTATCATGCCACTGGGGTGCCTTGACTTCTTTTTAAGGGTGCTATACAATACTAGATGTGCCAACACATACCCAAAATTCACAACATAAACCTTAATATTTCAAATAGGAATACATAGTGTCAAAAAGATGTTTTGCAAGAAAAGAACTTCTCTGTTATTTTTTTTGTAGTAAAAAAATGAGGGAAAGCTAAAAGCTGGAATTTTTTGAGGGATTTCTTCAGTTGAACAAGATGTGCCTTGAGCGTTAAATGGTTGAGAACCACTCGCCTGCACACTTCTTACTGTAAGATCCAAGCCTTTGTTAATGCTACAGGTAAAGATCCTGCACATGCCTAATTTTATACTTGTGATTAGTTACTAAACTCATTAACATTTTGGGATCCTTATGTAAACAAGTTTACAAACTCCCTTTGCCTTCCCCAGCACATGGGGAGGAGGATGTTGAGAAACCTCATGGAATTACATACATAAAGGTATTCTTGCACAGTGGTAAGATCTGAGCCTATCATTTTCCAGTGCGAAAGGTTAAACTTTTGTAGCCAATTCTAAGTTAGTGATTAAAAATGTATTTTATGTGCTGTCTATAAACTGGAAAAGGATCTTTCATTCAATTTTATCCCTAGTTTACTTACAAAGGTCCATTCATCAGTTTTACTGCCTTTTCCTCCAACACCAATTTTTTCAGTTATTTTTCAATTTTTATTATTTAAAAAAATATGCTTGCCTTATTTTAATGTTTCTTCTACCCACAATTGGATACACCCAGTACACGGTTATAGAATTATTAAAAAAAATTCTGCAGACCTTTTTATTCGGATAAAAATCCTTTATGTGTTCACAACCATGAATTCTGCTAAAGTCAGTCATTAAGTTGCAGAAGCAAATGAAGTATTTTCCAAAACCACAGCTTGTTATAACAACCTTCTATTTATTGTCTGTTACAGGAAAGTACTAAATTCAGGAAAGTTTGGACAAGTCATTCCACATCTCCTATTACTTATGAAAGTGGAAGAATCTATTTTGACAATTATCGGTGCTGTGTCAGTAGGTAATATGATGGAAAATTTCCATTACTTTACATTTTATCACTAAAGCTCTGATCTTTCAAGCATTTAGACATGTGCATAACTTTACTCATGCAAGTACTCCCATTGGATTACTCATCTAAGCAAAGATAAATACATGTATCAGTGTTTGCATGATTAGATGCTCATTTTTTTATCTCCTAATGCTGTGGCTATTCTGTGATGACTTATGGACCTTGTTCTTTGGCAAGGGAAACCCTGATCCTGTGAGCAGTAATCTACTCTCAATCTTACAAAATTTTGAGCACCCTTCAGACTTCATAGCATCTAATGAAATAGGTTGTCACCTATGAAATCTTATATGCTTCTCAGTTAGCCTCTAAGACAGGGGTGTCAAACATAATGGCCTGCAGACTGGATCTGGCCCATGGTGCCATTTAATGCAGCGTGCAGGTTGCTGGACCAACCTCGTGCATTGGCCCTAGCCCTGCACACTGCATGTGGTGTGTGGGTTGGACCCAAGCAACCTGTGTCCTGGACCCCCTGTGCTGTGTGCAGTGATGGGTTCAGCCCATGCAGTGCCTGCAACACATCCCCCCGCTGACCCCAGAGGCTGCACTACAGTGAGCCACATGGCTGGCACGTGTGTGCAGGACTGAGCAGCCTGCATGTGTAGCATGTGGCACAAGGGGCTGGCACAGGGCATACGCTCCATGCAGTGCCCTGCTGGCTCTGGAACCAGTGCACAAGGGCAGCATTAGCCCTGTTCAGGCCCCAGGGATTGATGCATGTGGTATGCAAGGTAGACCCAGTGCTGTGGCCACTCTACAAAGAGCTAGTCTCAGTCTGGCCTGCAGACTGGCTCAGGGATGTTAATCCAGCCTGTGAGGTTGGATGAGTTGGACACCTCTGCTCCAAGGTGTCCTTGCCCTGACTTATTTCATAATTTAAAGGGGATTGAGGGTATTCATTACTTTGTTGGATCCAGTCCCTTTTTAACATGTGGTTTCCATTGTGTAAATGGCAACACAGTGCTGCAATTTCACTGAAAAGTACCATGTGCAAATTGATCAGTCGGCCCAGTTTATAACAAAAAGCTGAATTATTATTGAGCAACCATATAAATGAATATGGTACAAATGCTCTGCAAATACAACTACGGCCCAAAGAAGAGGACAGAAATGGAAACACATTTAAGAGACTTATACTGCTAAACTGTATAGCTCTTAAAC